GAAGAGCGAGAGGAACTCCGCGCGCTGCTTGTGCACCTGCTGGATCGCGGGGATCAGCGGCCGCTGGACGCGCGTCGCGTAGAGCACGAGGAGCCGCTCGCCGTTCTCCGTGACGTGGTAGATCGGCGGCGGCGGTGGCGACACGACCTCGCAGTTGGGCACGACGTAGAGCTTGGCGACGCGGCGCGGCTGGCCGGGCGGCGCGAGCGCGCGCGGCTCGAGGAGGCCGCACGGGTCGCGGTAGAAGTTCGCGACGGCGGCCGTGGACGCGGCGGTCTGCGTGGGGCCGACGCGTCATAAACTCATTGTCAAAAACGGGACGCGGCGTCGCGCCTGGGCCTCCTCGCGCTCGCGCGCGGCGCGGTCGCGGCGGCGCTCGATCATGCGCTCGAAGGTGTTCGCGAGGCCCGCGCGCGCGACGCGCCGCGAGTGCGCGTCGATCGGCGGCCGGGAGCCGTCGGGCATGAGCTCGGGCGGCGCCAACGCCGCGGCCTGGTCGCGCAGGTAGGCCTCGTCCGCGGCCTCGACGTACGCCAAATCCTTGAGCTGGAGCGCGAAGTCGGCCTTGTAGCGCTCGAGGCCTGTGATTGGCGAGTGGTTTGGAAATCACTTCGAGGCATCGACGCCGCGATGCGCCCGCGACGTGGAGCGGCGGCAGCGGCTTCTCGGCCTCGGCGCGCTCGACGTTGTGCTCCTCGATGCGCGCGACGACGACCTCGGAGATGCGGTTCTTCTCCTGGATGGAGACCTACGCGGGCGACGTCGCGGAGACATCGATGGGAGACACCGGAGCAGGAGGCCTTGACCGCGGCGATCTCTGCGAGGGGTCGCGCGTCGCGAACGCGTTTTCGCAAAACGAGACGCCGCGGACGCGCCCGGGTCCATCGGATCGTTGAGCCAGCGGAGCCGCTGGCCGACAATCTGGCCGATGACCGTCGTGCCAATGTTGAAGTGCGCCGCCGCCTAGAAGATGTCGCGGTCCGTCGTCGCGCGGGACTCCGGGGACGCGGCGGCGCGACCTCGACCTTGGAGTCGTAGGTGCCGAAGACGATCATGGCGTGGTAGCCGCCCGGGATCTGGGCGAGCGCCACGACCTTGCCCTTGGCGCAGTCGCGGTCGTCGATGCCGTAGAACCGTTCCTGCGCAGGGCGCGCGTCGGGACGAGCGATCCGCGAGCGAGCCACGTACCGGCATAAACTCGGAGAACGCGTTCTCCAGCGACCGGAGCGCCTCCTACAATTTGACACAGTGATGACACGAGGACGCGAGCCGCGCCGGCGACGCGCGTAGGGGTGCCACGGGAAGTTGAAGACGGCGATGCCTACGTGCGAGACGGGTTTCGAACGCCGACGACGGGTTTTGGACGCCGCGGTCGCGCCGCCGGCGATGCGGTTCATGCGCTCGAGGCGCTCGCTGCGAGGGGCTGTGAGGGCGCGGGCGCGGCGCGAAGACGCCCTCGTCGCACCGGTAGACGGCGACGGCCGTCGGGTGCTTCAGGACGTTGCCGCGGTTGGAGTGGGCCGGGAACGCCTCGAAGCGCGCTACGGGCCGCGGGGTCCGATGCGTCTCAAAAAAGAATTTCGACGCGGGAACGCCGACGGTCCGCCGGGGCGCTCGCCGCTCGCAGGGTCTTCGTGCCCTCGTGGACCGTGTACACGGCGCAGGGCTTGCCGTGGGCCGTCCGGTAGTCCACGCCGTAGTACGCGGGGCACTGGTCGTCCTCGGCCCGCGGCCCGTGACCCCCGACGCGCCGCTTCGCGTCGCGGATGACGCGGTAGCACATGCCTACGAGAGAAGAACATGCCCCTGGAGCGAGACCCTCGTTCTCGCGCGAACTCTCGAAACACGAATCCGAACGCGGACGCGGCCGCCGACGCGCGCGCGCGCGGAGCGTCTCCATGTCGTTCACGTCGACCTACGAGCGGCGTCACGATCCAGAGATGCGCGCCGTGGTCCGCCAGGCGCGGGCCGGAGCACCGCCGTGAGGTAGAGCGAGACCTACGTGAGACGACGCGTCAGTCCGAGGGCTCGAAACCGAGGACGCGGCTTCGCGTACGCGCGGGACCGTCGCCAGGGCCTTGAGCAGGTTCGGGAACTCCTCGGGCCG